TATTCCAAAAGCTTTACCTGTTTGTTTCCTAGTTCCATGTGCTTGGAATATCCTTTTTCCATCCTTTATACCTAAGGTGATGTCTGTCCTTGATGGTTAGGTGTGTTTCTTGCATGCAATAGAAAGATGAATACTGTCATCAAATCCACATCTTAATCTGTATCTTTTAATTGGGTACTTGAGACCATACTGAGAGTTATTAATAAACAATTTTTATTAATTCTTATTATTTTGTTGTTATGGTATGGACTTTGTCCCTTTCTTTTAATGTTCTGGGATTATTTTTTACTTGTGCCATCTTGAATGCAGTCAGCTTTAAGACTGAAGTTTTTCTTCTTTCCTTCTTTAGAGCTGTGATGGTATACTGCTTAAATATGCTTTCACCAGGGAATGTTTTTCTTTGTCAGTTCAATTTTATAGTGTTTCTGGGGTTAGTAGTTTGGACTGTGGTGATCTGCTGTCTTTCGAAGTGTGCATAACATACATCTTGCCCTTCTGATATTCAGGGTATTCACTAAAAAAAAAATCAGATGTTATTCTAATGAGTCTTCCTTTATATGTTACATGGTCTTTTCCTCTTGCAGTGTTCAATACCCATTGATCTGTACATTTAGTGTTTTGAAGAATATGGATAATAGGGAATTTTTATTCTTGTCTATTAGTTGTTGTTTATGCTTCTATACTTCCATCACTTTCTATAGATTGGAAAATTTTCTTTTGTTATTCTGTTTAAAGTATTATTTATGGCTTTTACTTGGGTTTTTTCTCCTTTCTCCATATCTATCATTTATAATTTTATTCTTTTCATAGTGTCATAGATTTTCTGGATGTTTTATACTTGGATTTTTAAAATAATTAAAATTTTCACCAGGTGGTGGTGATGTGCATCTTTAATCCCAGTACTCAGGAGGCAGAGGCATTCTTATCTCTGTGAATTTGAGGCCTCCTGGTCTACAGAGAGAGCTGTAGGACACCCAGATCTACCCAGAAAAATCCTGTCTAGAAAACAACCAAACCAAAATATCAACATTTTTTTTTGACTAAACTGTTCAATTCTTCTACCCTTTTTTCAATTCCTAAAATGTTGTCTTCCAAGTTCTTTACTCTGTTGGTTAGGACTACCCCCCCCCCCCCCGAGTTTCCCCTCCAACTTTATTTCAGTTTGTGCTTTCTTCAATGATTTTTATCATTCTTTCCCATTTCTGAAATAGTTCTATTTTTTTATTAAGCTATTTGTGTTCCATGGTTTTCATTTATGAAGAAGACCTATGTAAAATTGTTATTTTGAAGTCTCTGTCTTGTATTTTAGCTAAATTTCTTTCTCCAGGACATATTACAAATAAGGTTTCTGGCTTCTGGAGGATGCATATTGTCTTGATTGTTCATATTTTTTTTTTCCTGGAACTCAGGCATCTGGAGTTATGACATTTGAAGTTATTTTGGTGTCTTGTTTTTGTTGTGTGGATGTTCTTTTCTTTGGTTGCTGTTGTCCAATCTAGATCTTAGCACACTGTGGTGGTATGATGTCCTTGACTCCTACCCTAGTGTGGTGGTTGTGGGGTTTTTGTTAGAGAGTCATTCTGAGTTTCCATGGGGAGTTCACAAAGGAATTAGTTGATTTGGACGGCATGGCTGAAGAGTGCAGCAGGAAGAACTAAGGCTAATTTGGACCTGGGTTTGCACCAAGTCCTAAAGGGACTTAAGTAGACTGGGGGGGGGGGGGGCTGAGGTAGGAAGGAAGTGGCAAACTTAAAAGTACAGAGAGATCTGAATGGAGAATAGAAAAGAGAAAAAGTGTAATAGAAAGGAGAAAAAGTGTGGTCTTTAATCTGTTTGAGTTTAAAGATTTTTTTCAGACATCTATGGTGGTTCCGTGTCTCTGGTATAAACAAATTCTGTGTATCAGCAGGCAGTCACAAAGGAACGAAGACCGGTTAGAAGAAATGGCTGAAAAGGGCAGTGGAAAAGACTTAAGTGTTCCGTATAGCACAGTTCTGCACAAAACGACAGTCCCAAGCATATACCTCTATTTAATACCATTAATTTGACCAATTATTTCTTTTAAACTGGAGGGCAGTTTTTGTGCTTATTTTTCTAGTTGGGCCTTAGTAACTTCAGTAGAATATTAGAAACTTTTTTTCATTACCTAGCACACATCCTCCTATAGTTTCTATCCATTACTTTACATAAAATAAAACTGATTGAAAAAATATTTTACCCCAGAGTATTTTATTAGAGATTCCTGCCACCATATTAACAGACAAACAATCTGGATGTTGACATAAAATGCTAATTCCAGTATACAAAGATACAGCTCAATAACAGTAATATGCCCCCCATATCTTTTGTTACTTCAATGATATTAACTCATGGTAAATTCTTCCCAGAACTATGTTCATAAATATTAGACAAACTACAAAAAATACTGTAAATACTTAACACATATTATGCTTCAAGCTCAGAAGTATATGATCCTTTTCCTACATCATTCTCATTATAGAGCTCATATTAGCACTAAAAACAACTGTGTATATATATTTACTTGTTCTCTCTCTCTCTCTCTCTCTCTCTCTCTTTCTCTTTTTCTGTGTATGTACACAAACCCACAAATGTACATAAGTACTTTCATGAAATAATCAAGTACTTAAGACTCTACATATCTTGATATCACAGTATCTGAGAAAGAAAGGAACAAAATTATTACACAAATTCCTCACCTGGGGCAAAATTAGCACAAGTCAGTATGTATGAAAGGCATGTGGGTTATATCTATACAAACACATAAATACATATTTTTATAAATATACTTATACCAATGATACAGAATATTCAAATTCTCATGTACTTGCTTTGAACTCTCAATCTCATTAATCTATATACTGACTATTTTTTGAAGAATGTCTTCTTCATTTATCTAAAAAAAACTGATTAAATCTTTCTACAATAAATGGATGTTTCTTAAAGGCTTTAATTCTGTACCAAATGAATGGCATTATGGGATTCCAGTGGTAGGCTTTATTATTATTGTTTTAATTTAGAAGTTCCTATTTTGTCTTTCCTTAAAAGAATTTCTACTCCACAATAAACTGTTCCTCAAGAAAGGGTGATGCAAGCTGTAAATGCTAAAACTGCCTGCAGCTTGCTCCTTATTAATCTGCATGCATGTATTACATTTTATATCTGTCTCATTTTCTTTTTATATTTTATAATATAAACATGCTATCTCCATAATTTAAAAATATTATTTAACTTAAATATTATTTTTAAAAGAAGAGGGTCAGATGAGTTATCTTGGCCAGCACTTCAAAGACAATATGAAGCACAATTAAACAGGTGAGTATTTTTTTTTTCAAGTGCACTGGAGTTTTTCCATTCTAGAGTGTATGATTTCAAAGTCATATAAAAGAAAAAGAAAAAAATTAAAATTCAGTCAAAATGCTGATCAGTAGCAAACTTTCAAAAATGTCTTAATGTCCAAGTCATAGAAAATATATTTCTGTATAAATCATGGATGCAATAGCAAGTATATATTATAATATATTCGACTCAAAGTCCCAAGGCTGACTTTCAAGTTTACTTTCGAAATAATCATCTAATAAAGCACTCAGAGCTGCACTAAGTAAGCATGACTATAGTGTAGTATGTAGAGATTGTGTGTTCAATCCCTTTATAATCAAAGTAATGTGATATTTTTAACATAGGTAAAAATTATGTTGTAATCTCTATACTTCCTTGATTCTTACTCCTTATACAGTGTTGGTAAGTGACCAGCAATGGAAAGCACCAGATGTTTTCTATCTTGGGTCAACTGATATGAAGGAATTTATCATTTATTTTGTCTGCTGTTCTCTTCCATTGTCTACTTTATCCAAACAGAATTGGTGTATCATCTGATGGTTCACTGATGGAGGAAGGTCATTGGTTAAGTAATAAAGAAACTGCTTGGCCTCATAGGTTAAAACATAGGTGGGAGGAGTAAACAGAACAGAATGCTGGGAGGAAGAGGAAGTGAATTCAGAGACGCCATGCTCCCCTCTCCCGGGCAGGCGCAATAGCTCTGCTCTTGAGGCAGACGCATGAAGCTCAGACCCAGGATGAACGTAGGCTAGAATCTTTCCCGGTAAGACTGATGCTACACAGATTATTAGAGATGGGTTGATTGGGATATGAGAATTAGCCTGTAAGGGCTAGAGTTAATGGGCCAAGCAGTGTTTAAAAGAATACAGTGTCCATGTAATTATTTCGAGGCATAAGCTAACAGGCTGCCGGGGTGCTGGGGATGCAGCCCCACCTCTCTTAATACTACAGTTCACGTCATTGTTTCAATGGAAGCCTCAACTATAAGAGTTTAGAACGTAAAAAAATCCATAAAGGAGATCTCTCTCTGTCTCTCACTGTCTGTCTCTTACACACACACACACACACACACACACACACACACACACACACAAACACATTGAAATTTCATCCAGACAATGAAAGCATGAGGGATCCCAAAAATTCACCTTAAAATTTCTCCACTTTTATTAACTAAACATGATTTTGTGAACCCAGAAAGCAAATGCGCAGCTCTTTACATTGAGTGCCATATATCACCATCACTTCTATAAAAGAAACCATAAGCTTATCACCTCTGGCCTAGCCGTCTCACCAGAACTCTTCTTTGCTACTTTCTATTTGTCAAACTCCTGCCTGCTTTCACATAGATTAGTAAACAATAAAGGATTAACTAGTGGATCTTTTACAATTTCACTATTGCAAGTAGCATCAATTTCTTTTAAAAAGACTCTGCTTTCCCAGCTCAAATATATGGGCAAAATGCAAATGAAACTAGAAGATTATCTTGTCTAAAACTTTGAAAACTGGACCCCACAATGTCAACTCAGGGTTCTCCTTGCTCACATCTTCTAGTTCAATCATCTTTTTTGAATACTTACTATAGTTTTTTACTATCTTTTTACAAAGTCATATGCAGGTAATAAATTATGGGATTAGTTAGCCAAAAAATATCTTTAAAAAAATCAGGTGCGAAAACACTAAAAAATTCCATGTGCATTAGTTTTACAATATGTATACTTAAATAACTCCAGAAAGCTTTTTTTTTTTTTGCTAAAAATTTACCAAAATAGTTAGAACACATAAAAATATTTTTTTAAAAAAACTGAAAAAACCCCAGCATCAACTTATTTGTATAGGCATCAGTAAGAGGACATTATTTTCACCAAAGGTTATATTAAAAAGATTGTATTTTTACTAAAATTCTGATTCTGAACATTATAGCTCACAATAAACAGGAATACCTAACTCCAATGTACTATATATTATGGCATGATAAGGAGATTTTTCTTTTTTTTGGTTACTTCAAGGCTGCCTTTCTGAAGGATAACTAAAAGAGTTATATTTGATTTAAATTTACCTAAGTTTAATTTCAAGGTTTGAGCATTTAGTTAAGAGAAAAAGCTAACCAAAACCTACTGAAAATGATACAACTACTATTGAAGATAGCCCTTAGTCTCATCAGATATGAACCTATGAAAAACCGAGCATACAGAGAAAGATGTTGACCTTCTCAGCCACCCACTCTTTCAGGGGACAGTAATATTCATAGTGAAACTGCTCAAACTCTGGTGTCTGACGGATTTCGCATAAGAAGGAGAGATCAATACCTGACTCCAAAAGGAGGAGGAGCAGGGGAAATACAAACAGCAGCAGTCCCAGGCCCACCACAAGGAGCCTGGAGAAACTCTTGACCAGGGGGTTGACCCAGATATGGCCAGTCAGGATGGAATAGCTCCATGACAAAGCTTGGTGAGCTTCCTTCAGCTCCTCCTCTTCAGCCATCAAAAAGGCATTCTCATCTGCTTCCAGTTCCTCAAATGAATCTGTGTCTTCTCTTTCTAACTCGAGCCTAGATGGACAGTCAAAGAGCATGTTGATTTCATCATCATCCACTGGGGTAGGGAGCAGGCTGGCACTGGGATTGTACGCTAGTTCAGAGATGGTCAAGGGGTCTTCCACTTTATCTTCCTCTTCACTCAGAGGATCTGCACACCGAGCTCCCTTCACTGGTGAGCTGACAGTCAGTGGCTCAGAAACATCTTCTTTTGGCAATGGGGCACCTAGTAAAAAACATTATTTTATAAAGGTTAAATTTCAGATTTGCTAGGTTACAAAAATCTGTAGGTAGAAACATGGAGAGTTCAAGGAATATGTTAGACTACTCAGTGGCATATTGATATTAGGCAAAATCACATTAGTAAATTCTTAGCTCAACATGATAACCTAAAATAAACAACAATAATCAACATTTTGAAGGAATACAACAGTTAAGTATATTGTTTGGTCTGAAAACCTTAAACTGAGTCAAGTCTTTAAGAAAAACAAGAAAACAATGTAGGAGTATGTGAAAATTACAAATGACGTCTTCCAGAGTTTGATACTATAATATAATACAGGATTATATGAATTTACCTTACAGGAATAATTGAGTGATTATTTTGAAGTATTGATTTCTATTCTTTATTCCAAGCACACTTTTGATATGTCTGTTGTTATTATTATACAAGGTGAATATGTAATTCACATGTCCAAAATATGAAAAGCCCAAATATCCGAAAATTTAAAGCAAATCAATGTTAAAGATTTCAGTTTATTTTTATAGATATCATACATTGAGATTAGCAACACTCAAGCATTAAAGTGTTCTCAAATGTCCCAAAATCAGAAGGAAAAAAACTATGAAATCTGATAAATTTTAGGTCCTTAAACAGTTGGCGTATAATAATCATCAATCTGTAATTGCAATCATGTGGTATCTACAAACTTGCACTTTCTTTTTTATTCGGAAGAACAACTTTCCACATCATTTTTTTTAGTTAAAATAATAAATACACAGAGCAAAGAAATAGTATTGAAAGCTGCAAGAGAAGATTGTTCTATATAAGGAGAGGCTCATCAGAATACCTGTGTGTTCTCAATAGAAACTAATATTTAGAAGGTTGTGGAGGACTCTCTGTATTGAGTTATCCCATGGGCATATTTTTGGGTGGGACTGTCTTAATTAAGTTAACTTATCTAGGAAGACCTAGCCCACTGTGGGTGGTACCATTCCCCAGGCAAGGGATCAGTGAACAGACATGAAGTTGAGCAAAAGTAAGCAAGTAGGGAGTTTGTATACATTTCATTTACTTCTCTTGACTGTGGATATGATGTAATTTTCAGCTTTAGGCTTGTGACTTCCCCACAATGATAGACTATAACCTGAAACTATAAGATGAGATAAACCCTGTCTCCCCTAAATTTTCCTTTTCAAGATGATGTATCATAGTAGAAATGACAATAGAAAAATCTACAATTGAGAAAAATTTTAAGCAGTTAATAAATATGCTCAAGATTTATATGTCTTTCACCTATATTTATTTTATTTTGTTGGCTTATTTATTTATTTATTTATTTAGGTTTTTCGAGACAGGTTTTCTCTGTAGCTTTGAAGCCAGTCCTGGAACTAGCTCCCGTAGACCAGGCTGGTCTTGAACTCATAGAGATCTGCTTGCCTCTGCCTCCCAAGTGCTGGGATTAAAGGCATGCGCCACCACCGCCCAGCTGTCATATTTCTAAAATACTGTTTGCAGAAGAAAAATTTTCCCTCGCAACATGAATGCATGAATTTTTCTACTTTACCTGGTAAATTACTGACAAACGATAATATTGTAATTAAAATATTATTTTTTCTTTGCTGATGACACAAGAAATTGCATTCAAAACCACCATCTGAAATTCTTCATTGGAAGAATAAAAATGGTCAGTATTTCAAGAAAGAAATGCAGCAGATCCTATGGATTATTTATGGATGTGGTATGCCTTAATCCTGAAATTGCAGGTTTTCTTTCTGGCTTTTATTTGAGAAAGAAATTTGTCACTGTTTGGGCTTTTTCATTATAAATTTATCTAGCCAATTTCTATCTCTTGTTCTCATACATGCCAGAAGGGAGGTCTGCTTTCTCATCATCTCTCATCCCCTCAATGTATTTGTGCCAGTAAACTCTGTGAAGATGTGAACAAAACTGAGAGATGCCTGGACATGATGGGCAGACCAGCTGAACTAACTCAGTCACTTTCTCTGTGCCTTCAAGTAGCAGAGCCTGATGAGGATAATCTATGGTACCACATTTCCCGAATTCATTCCACTCCTGCTACACAGGCACACTGCCCTCTTTCTCTTAAGCTCTATGTATAACACACTTTGTTAGAAACCTAGTCCCCCATTGATCTGTTAATTTCATTTTGTGTAAGTTTATAAGCCAAGTATTTAGAGACACAGGCCTGAGATGGCTTTGATAGTCACTGATTTTCTGGGACCCAAACCTTCCCTTCCATAAGCTATAGCCAACCAGACGTGAAAAAGCCCCAGTCACTCTCGAGGAGAGTGACCAGAAGTGAAAAAGCACCCAGTTTTCCCCACATCATTGATGTGTTAGGCCAGGAACTTCAGTTTCTGAATTCAGAGGGTGAGTTCAGAAGCCAATGCCCTATGTGCTCTCTGCTTTAAGTTCACCATTACCCCAGACACACACGTATGCATGCATGCACATACAATGCCCTCCACACTCATTTTCATACTTACATACAGTCCTGTTTCTCTTTACATTTTCTTTTTATTTAAACCTCATTCTTCTTTTTCCCTTTCCACCTTTTGTGAGTCTAGGATGAACACCCTTCCTGCACCACTAACAATGGATTTGTTCCTAAAAAGAGAAGCATCAAGAAACAGCTGACAAAGGGAGCTAGCACCTTGAGATGGCTGGACTATTTGACTCCATGGCAACCCAGCATTGCATCTGGAGCCATTTCATATATCCATCTGGAGCCAAACAATAAATTGATGTGGGCTGGACAACCCACCACCAGAAATGGGAAGGAGGCTTCTGAAGCTGTATTGAAACTACCTTACTATAGTGGACAGCTGCAATGTACTAAGTGCTAGCCTGGCACTCTGGTTCCACAGGGTCCTAGTGTCTGCTCTTTGTTGAACACATTCAGGTTGGTTTTATTATTTGGCTGGGACACTGTTATTTCCGCTCTCAGAATTGCTCCACAGTTTTGTTTACTTTTCTTTTGTCACAAGGTGCTCTCATTCTTCTTTGCTTTTGTTTTTACTTTCCAGTTGCTGTGACATGGATAGGGTAAAGGAAAAGAGCATCTGGATACCATCTCTTTCTGAGTTCATTCAGATATTTTTCCGCCTATGTTCTGTATTTTCTAGATTATGGGCACTTAAATACAAGTTACCTGTGTAAACCAAAGTGTGTCTCTTTTAAATTAAGGGACTTTCCTTAAGTGAGAAATTAATTCTTAATACTATAATGTTTGCCTCTTACCTAGCCTGAGGAAAATAAAATGGACTAGCTGATTAAAATGTTCAAAACAGAGAGGTCCAGAGGAAATGTCAGAAGAGAATATTAGAGGTGCAACAGAGAAGATTCCCCACACCTTATATAATCATTAGAGATTGGCTTCTTTCCTAGCCATTCAAAGTTCATTGTTTACTCAAGACATTTAATTTATGGTGGTTTCAGTATAAGAGACGGAGTATTGGTGGTGAGAATGGTTAGATGTTGGTTAGAATTATGTGTTTGAGTCTGATGTGCCGCTTTTTCTCACAATGGTACTTGAAAGAAGAAGTCTTATCAGTGACAGCAGCTGGTGTGCTGGGGCCTCTTCTCATGCTTAAGAGGCAAGGAGAGAAAAATAATGGAAACTCGCCAGATGGTGCTCCAGAAAAGAAGGCAGCTACAGATATAAGAACTGCGTCCAATATATCTGCTCTTGTCTTACAGATAGGTAGCTGTTTATCTTTAACAAAGATTGCTGCAGACTGAATCCTTATGTACCGGTAGCTCTTCAATTCACATATCTTATAAAAGAAATGCCTGCTATTGTTTTGTACTTGAGCCTGGCCTAGATATAAATCAGTCAATAGAGAAAAATTGCCTTCAGATGGAAGTATTACTTTTAATATCATTTTATAAGTATATATGTTTTGCAAGGCAAAAAAGTAAATGGTTTGAGGTTCTTTATTTATTCTTTGCTCAACTTAAACATACACCTGGAGTCAAATGCGGACCCAGCACTTCAATGTGTCCTCATACCAGGGGATTCCCAAGCTGTTAATGGCCTCTTATAGGTTCAGTCACTCTTATGACAAGAAAAATTTCATTTCCCTCCTTACCTTCATCCAAATAAACTAGTGGTTCTTAATCTTCCTAATGCTGTGATGCTTTAATACAGTTTCTTATGCTGTGGTGATTCCCAACCATAAAATTATATTGTTGTTGCTTCATAACTGTAATTTTACTACTATTATGAATGGTAATGTAAATATCTGATATTCAGGATATCTGATGTGACCCCCACAGTGGTTGTGACCCACAGATTGAGAACTGCTGTAATAAATCCTTACTAGCTTTGAGTTGGCAATACTCCAGGATATCCTTCTATGCTCTGCTTTTTTTTGACCCAATTTAAGAATCTATAATAAATAAAACTTCCTTATGAATTTATCTTTTCATTGTCCCTCATTTTCACTGGGTGGCTTTGTTGACCAGTGATTTTCCAGGACCCTAGTCCTCCTTGCTTTCTTGAGGCTAGCCAACTTCTATCTCTCTAAATTATACTCCACTTTTTCTCTATTATCTTTTCCCCACTTCCCCATCTTTTTCACATCCTTTCTTAAAAATACAAGACTCCCCTCCCTTTCAATGCCACGCAAAAATCATACAGTCTGACTACAAGCCAATACTATGTACTCATCAACCACAGAGCAGTTCCCTTCTGAGATCCTTTATGAGGTACACACATTTGCTTAGACTATCCTATAAGGACCTTAACCGTTCAAAATCTTCTTGAGTCAAAGTTTTAATTTTTTTTTAACTCTGACATCATTTAAAAGTGGTTGAGTGTTGCTCATATCTTACTTTATTTTATAGACTATAAAAATTAATATTGGAAAAGTGATATTCTTATCTATGGCACTAAGCGTCTTGGTGAGGAACCAAGACAGACCAGTGCTTTTGTCCCAAGTAGAAAGAGAGCAACAATTTGAATCTCCATTGTATTTCCA